ATTTGTGTACTCTTCGACCCCATTCAGTGACATCAGGGTTTCAGGCTGGTTTCCAGGTTGGATGCTCACTGGGCTCTACCTTTGTGGGGCAGCTTGTCCAAACCCTGGGTCTTCACAGGGCATGCTCAGAAGGAATGGTAGGCATATCCTCCTCTGTCTTTATCAAAATTTTGGAAACCTTTCCCAAAAGTTACTAAAGTTCAGCTCCAGCCTTTTGACTATACTTTGCTTAAACTAATCATGGTCAAAATTACTATAATCATGAGGAACTCTTAAACAAATCGACATTCACTTCGTAGAATTGAAGAGGGACAATTTTCCAGGGACACATGAAAGAGTGAAAACCTCCTTCTCTATCAGAAAGAAGTCAGTCAAGAGATACTGAATGTGCAACACACAGGTCTCTCCTTGACAAAGGAATGTTTTCATTTAGGTACATTATAACTGTTGTAGCACCGATAAGTAACTAAGGAAACCTTAATTCCACAATTGCCAATTTTGATGCTTTCTATCATCTACAAATATACTCCATTCATTTACAACTTCTTCTATACTCCCGGACCTTGTCTGTCTTCATTCACTTTTTTGTTTCCTTAATTGAGTCTTGGCTTAATTTTCATTTGTACTATGCAACCAGCATACAAATACTACTGTCCTGTTCCTGGGTCCCTGCTGTGTAGATACATAGACTTAAAAAATTTACTTGGTGGGACCAGCAGTTAGTGTAATGGCTATGTCGCTGGACTCCCACATAGTCGACCGCGGTTTGCGTCCCAGACCCAGTGGCTTAAAACTCACGCTGGATGCGTGTGTGTGCGTGCCCAAGATCTCGAGAGGAGAATGGAGGAGAAGGGATTGCGGCATGGCCATCCCCCCTAGGGGGTGATTTCTCGCTTTATGTCTCTCTGTCTCTCTCTGTCTGGCGAGCGCATGCTCCCTATAGCTAAAAAAACCTCTCCAAAAAAAAAAAAAAGTTTACTTGGTAGATTGACCATTCATTATCTGACAACCAGTTCATTTCAGTACCCAGCCATGTCTAAGCAAAAGAGCATCTTTCTAGGTTGTGATACAACCTATTATGTTTATGTACATACATATTTTTATGTTTTTAAACATGCTAAGTCTTCTCTATATCAAAGAATATTAAAACTAGTGAATGTTTCACTAAAATTTCTGAATACAATTAAGCCCAAGATTCAAATATTATAACTTACAGTCCATAGGACCAGAAAAGATATTTGCTTGTGTTTGTTTTACCGAAGGCAACAATTACAGTGCCAGAAAATATCCATGTAAAATGAAAGTCTTTCATTAAAAAATGAATCACTGCTCATGACCCCCAGATCATTTCAGCTCACAAATTCATGACCTTCATTTAGAGAGAACTAAATTTTCATTAAATTTCTTCACAGAGGTTTGGAGAATTTGTCCCATGCCTCATAGTGTACATAGTATCACACTTTCCTTTTAAAGTTTCCTCTAACATTTCAAGTACCATTTGAAAATAGAGATAAAAAAATTACTTCTCTCAATAATACTTCATAGGTTAGTTGTAAGGTTTTTATGTATAAATACATATTCAGGGGAGAGGGAGGACAGAAATAGCAAGGAAAATTCATGAAAGAATGAGCCACTCAGCCATTTTTACACGAATATGTTAATTTTATATAGCTCAAATGATATAATCAGACCATGAAAGACTCATTTCCTACGTGAATGAAGCACTTATTATTTTTAAAATATTTATATTTCAATAGATTTGGATTTCAAAGCTTCTGATCAGAGGAAGATTAGAAGTTAAAGGAGGAACTGGCAGTCTCCTCAATCTCTTTAGCAACCATAGATCCTGTAGAAGTGCTATTGTTATTCACAAAGTGAGGATTTCTCAATGGTGGCCTTATTATTTTGGACCAGATTATTAAGGAAGCTGTCATGTTCATTGTGAAATGTTTAGCAGCACCCCTGGCCTTCCTAACTAAATGGTGGACACAGCCCCTACCCCTACTTCCCAGTTGTGACAAACCACAATATTTCCAGACATTACCAAATGTCCCAGGTGGGGCTAAAACAAAACCAACTTCCCTCTCATCCTCTTCTCTTGTCCAGTAGCACTGACTTAAATCTGAAGAGTAAATTTTTTAGGGACTTGATGTGGTGTGACATTGTTATCATTTTTTTTCTGAAGTTTATAGTTAAGTTTTAGTTGATTTCCAACAAGATGCACTGCTATTTACTGGGGATAATGGATTTAAACTATAACACAGTCACACTTGTTTCTGGCTATTACATCTAATTTTTTAATAGAAAATCTTTCTGTAAAGACAGTGGTTTTGGGTATCTATTTTCTTTTAAAAGAAAACAAACACAGAATTTATCTATCCTCATTGAAAATGGAAAAGATTGTGCAGTAAAAATAATTAATTGCTAAAGACCAAATAATTCCACAAGCAAGAGTGTTAAATCTAAAACCTAAATTTGCCATACAGTACTTTCAATCAAGAATTTATTTGATCAGCTTTGAAGAAAGATAGGAATATTAAATTAACATTTTCAACATTTGTACTATTTAACTCCTCCTAGACATCATGGTTCACATAAGTGGGAATTTAAAAGAAATATAGATGCATATTACCATAGTACAATAATTTGATTTTTCATCTCTTTCTCTCTCTCTCTTCGGTTTTATTCATTACTAATTGGGGAGATTTTCTTTTCTCCTTGCAAGTTATAATGATACATTTGAAGAGACTGGCCAGTTGTTTGAGGCTATACTGAGTATCAGAAATAGAAAAGCCACAGTTGCAGAAAGATCAAAAGAAGACAGCCATGAAGAGGAAGCCCAAGACCTTGACAGAGGCTTTATGAGACTACAGGTAATCAAATAAGATACTGAAAACTGTAAGAGATTACTATTCAAGAAAGATGTAGGAAATTGGGCCAGAGATAAGAAATGTCAAAGGCAAACTATCCTGAGAAATGTTTCCCAAGCTCAATATACTTTTTAAAAATCACCAGATGATCATGATGAGATACAGAGTCTAATTGAGCACATCTGAGGCAAGGTCTGGGAGTCTGTCTTTCTAATCATCTCCTCTGTGTTGATGTTGCTGGTTCGTCCATGTGCAGTACAGTGTAGTCAAGTGCTAGAACACCCCACCTCTCACCAGCCCTATTTCATCACAAAATGAGATGAACCACGGGCTTCATTATATTATTCCATGACATTAACAATGGGGGAGTTCAAGTCCCCCAATTTTCAATATATAAAAACATGCTATATTTAAATCTTCTTTTAGAGAAATCAAGAAAACTTACATTTCTAAAATAAAAGTTAAGATTATGTTTGATTTGGGGGTCTTTCGATGGTTATTTTTAAATGACTTTTCCAGTTCACTCTTGAGCTTCAATTCACATTTTATGACAACCCAGGCTGTGTTTTTATTCTAATCATTTGATTCCTTTTACACCTACGAGGAAACCAAATATTGACGTGCTTTGTACTTTCCCCTCCAAAGCACTAAGGAAGCCCGATTATAGATTTTTGGCATTTTGTCAATGTCAAGGTGTGCTAGGAAGAGAAGCAGATGCAAAGATGACAGATAAATGAAGTATCCCTGATGGGAAACATCCTTTGGGGAAGACGCAGCTAGTAGCACTATAAAAAGTAGTATATTTAGACATAAAAGTCTTAAGACTGAACAACAATGGTAAATGGAAGTAATTATAATCACTTCAAAAAGAGGACTATTGTAGCAGGAAGTGAATGCATAGATGTGCTTCTAGGACAAGTATTTGAAAATAGCACTTTGCATTTCCTACAGGCTATTCTGGAAATGAAAACAAAAGTATGTTTGGGAATTACTTACACAGTTTTGTTGAAACAAGAATTTTTCCAAATATACGACTCTGTAAAGGAAAATATTCTCACGCAAAACACTCATTATAAACACTTGGAGCACCAAAATGCCATACATGTTAGTAATCTGCGTCTGGCTTGGTAAAGTACGAAAGATGTAAATAGTTTAAAATATAAAGGCACCACCAGGTGTTTTCCTCTTATTCCCCCTGATCTAGACAAGTTGCAGATGTTTCAAACAAAGCAACTAAAGCAACATAGGTTTATACCGTTGACAAATAAATTCTACCTTACTTCTAGTAGTTTCTAAAGTTTTTGTTAAGGCTATAACTTTTAAAACTACTATCTCCAAATACACACTTTATATAATACTTGAAATTCAGAATGTCATACCAATTTACCTGTTGTGACCACATCACATAAAATGGTAGATGATCACCCTTAGGTCATCTACATCATGCAAGTAATAATTGAATAATTTATTCGGTCCATTCAAGCTATTGATACATTCAGAAGAAAAGATTTTTAAAATTCTCACTTGTTCTATTCAATCCAAATATTAGACTGTGTCAGTCTAAATACAACATAAACTTATAAACATAAGTTGTCACCAGAAGAATAGAAATTCCCTTCAGAGAACATATTAATAATGTATTCTGTCCCCTGAGAGAGTGTTGTGTTCTGTTACTGTGTTGCTAAGCAGAATGCCTAAGGCTGGGAGACCTGTAAAGAACAGAGGTTTATTTGGCACACCATTCTGGTGGCCGGAAAGTTCAAGAGAATGGGACTAGTTTCTGGTGCTATAGCACAACATGACCAGCACAGCCAGAGAAGGAGGTAGGTGTACGTAAAGTGACAGACGAACCCATGGGCAGCCATCTTAATTTCATAACAACTTGCTCTTGCAGGCACTAACCATTCCTGATAAAGCAAAAACTTAAACCCTCCTCACGAGGCGATATCAACCAATTTATGAAGGCACCCTCATGATCCCACCTCCCAGAGGTAAGAACACCTTTCAGCACCACTACATGTGAGGCCAAGCTTCTAGCACATGAACCTTTAAGGGAAACCCCATATCCAAACAATAGTACACAGGTGATGGACAGAATCACATTCCCTTTCGATAGTTTTCTGAACTCACCCCATGTGACGGGTAAGAGATCCAGCCCAGCTCCCCTTGAATTGTTTTTGAATCCAGCAGATTGACTAAAAGAAAATACAAATATGCAAATGTAATTAATAATAGTAAACTATTTCTATTGACTTCTGTTGTCTGTTGTTGTTGATATTATTTTTTAAAATGACTTCATTTTTATTATAAGTTTATGATATATAGAAAATGGGAATTACAGGGCTTGCTCTGTACCTTAGTGGTTAAGGAAGTTGATTATATGGCTGACTGGTTCAAACCCTGTCCCCCAAGTTTGAAGAAACACATTTGGCCCGTGTGTGCCTGCCCCAAATCCCAATATAATGGAGAATAATAGACAGGATTGTTGCATGACCACACCTCATTGTAATGATTTTTCTTTCTCTCCTTCTCTTCCTCTGACAAGCACATAGACTCTTTGATATAAAAAAGAAAGTTTAAAGAAAAAAGTACAAAAAAAGCAACCAAAAGAAAAGTTAAAGGATCAAAAGTTTCTGTAGCTTTTTAAACATTTTGATTATAAAGATAGGTTAATATTAAAAATATAATCAATTTCCAACAAAATAAATTTAGGTTTAAAAAGGGAACATTATGATAGAAAGTGGACAAAAAAGGAATATTTACTGCTAAGTGAAGCAAGCCCGACTATGAAAGAGAGGCATTGTATGTCCCCACTCAATGTATACCAAATGTCAGCACTCCATGGCAGAAACTCAAAGATTAGAAGGTATAAATGCATAAAAAGTAATGGTTATTCTAGAGACAGTGCAGGAGGAGAGTGGGAAATTCAGGGAAGGTAGGGGAGGAAATCAAGCAAAAAAGAACGAAGCAAAATATTTGAGACACAAAAATACAAAATTAGCTGTTGATGATGACATATACAGTGATTTATTTGAACTGATATGTAGTGTATTCACGATGGGGAAATTTATTTGGTATGCTAAACAATACAAAGTGATAGAATGTAAAAAAATTTAAAACTAAATTTAAAAAATGCGAAGTAGAGTAAAACATTCATTCTAAGATGATATAAAAATAATTGAAAGACTTTTAAATTTTATAAATTTACACAGAATTCTACCATGGATTATTACCTTACATATGTTCCCATAATGAATTAATATTTCTGTTACTACCTACCGTCTTCATATTGTCCCTGACCAACACCAAACATATCATTGGCAAAGTGCAGCTTTCAATAATGTTATCTTCCTATGTATAACAAACAAAACATTTAACTAACAATTTGAGGAGAAACCAATGCAAAAATTTGGTTTATAATATTGTACATTTAAGACTTTACTTATTTTCAAAAAGGTGTTTTACCCAAAGGTTTTAATGATTTTACTCAGAACTTTGTGCTAGTTATACAAAGTCTGATTTCTTATCAATATTTATAGATGAAAAGTAAGCCTCATATACATGCAGTTGCATTTTGACTATGGTTTTACAAGAGAAAGGCAAATTATTTATTTTCACCAATATAATGGAGAATAATAGACAGGATTGTTGCATGACCACACCTCATTGTAATGATTTTTCTTTCTCTCCTTCTCTTCCTCTGACAAGCACATAGACTCTTTGATATAAAAAAGAAAGTTTAAAGAAAAAAGTACAAAAAAAGCAACCAAAAGAAAAGTTAAAGGATCAAAAGTTTCTGTAGCTTTTTAAACATTTTGATTATAAAGATAGGTTAATATTAAAAATATAATCAATTTCCAACAAAATAAATTTAGGTTTAAAAAGGGAACATTATGATAGAAAGTGGACAAAAAAGGAATATTTACTGCTAAGTGAAGCAAGCCCGACTATGAAAGAGAGGCATTGTATGTCCCCACTCAATGTATACCAAATGTCAGCACTCCATGGCAGAAACTCAAAGATTAGAAGGTATAAATGCATAAAAAGTAATGGTTATTCTAGAGACAGTGCAGGAGGAGAGTGGGAAATTCAGGGAAGGTAGGGGAGGAAATCAAGCAAAAAAGAACGAAGCAAAATATTTGAGACACAAAAATACAAAATTAGCTGTTGATGATGACATATACAGTGATTTATTTGAACTGATATGTAGTGTATTCACGATGGGGAAATTTATTTGGTATGCTAAACAATACAAAGTGATAGAATGTAAAAAAATTTAAAACTAAATTTAAAAAATGCGAAGTAGAGTAAAACATTCATTCTAAGATGATATAAAAATAATTGAAAGACTTTTAAATTTTATAAATTTACACAGAATTCTACCATGGATTATTACCTTACATATGTTCCCATAATGAATTAATATTTCTGTTACTACCTACCGTCTTCATATTGTCCCTGACCAACACCAAACATATCATTGGCAAAGTGCAGCTTTCAATAATGTTATCTTCCTATGTATAACAAACAAAACATTTAACTAACAATTTGAGGAGAAACCAATGCAAAAATTTGGTTTATAATATTGTACATTTAAGACTTTACTTATTTTCAAAAAGGTGTTTTACCCAAAGGTTTTAATGATTTTACTCAGAACTTTGTGCTAGTTATACAAAGTCTGATTTCTTATCAATATTTATAGATGAAAAGTAAGCCTCATATACATGCAGTTGCATTTTGACTATGGTTTTACAAGAGAAAGGCAAATTATTTATTTTCAACACAGATAATTAATTTGTAATAAATTAGAAATTAAAATATAAAATGGCACTTCAGATATAATTAATAACAAAAGATACATTTTGATTGTTGAGCAGATCTACTAAATAAAGGAAGCTATGATTTTACCTCATCTTTCTTCTAAATTAAAACAATCCCATCATGACTAGTGAGAAATGTGAAAGAAATTCACATAAGCTAAGCATTTATTATTAACATGAACCAAGGCAGATTAATCAATAAAGACAGTTAAGAGAGAATCATTTTCGAAGGTCCAATACAGTCACAAATCAAACATAATGTTAATATGGACACTGCACAATATATTCGTGTGTTGTCAATAAAGTGTATCTTGATACATGGAAAGTACCATTCTTTCTTTTATTTGTTCTTTTACAAAGGAATAAAAATTCTTATAGGATGTTAAGGAAAAGAAGTAACCTATTTTATAAACATTTTCAAGCACAGCTAAAATGTGAAAGAAATATATTTGGTTAAGTGGTTAGATGATAAAACAGTAAGCAGGTATAAGGATAACTCTTGGTCATTACAATTTAAAAGAGATACCGTTCTCAAAGTTAGACTCTAAATTTTGCAATTGAAAGAAAAAGACAAATTTAACATATTACATTATAATTCTTTAATGATTAAAGATTTTTTTTCTTACAATAAATTAATCCCAATGAGAAGTAATTATATTTAGATAAGAGAAGAAGATAGCCACTATGTGGATTACAAAGTGTAATTTCCATAATTGAATTATTTCCCAGGGTATCACTTTGGAAATTAACAATATGCTTAACTATATTGCAATTATTTCTCAAAAATAATAATAAAAATTCTACCTATTAATGTTACAGATTATATTTCATATTTATCAATATGGAAAATTTTTTGAAAATATGAGAATTCATCTTTAAGTATATTACCAACATTTATTCTGATAAAGCCATATCTAGTTCAATTGTCAACTGTCATTCAATTGTCATTATGCTCGTCATTCGATTTCTCTGAGTCTGATATAGGATTTCAATAGACATAAACTTGCCACTACTCATATGTCATTAGATCGTATCTGCAACGTCCTTAGGGCTTAGAAGACTTGATGCATCACTGTGTGTATGTAATAACCGAATATGCACGAAGTGATGAATATGTGTCATTCTATATGCTAAAATGAATGACTGATTTTTTTTAATTTAATCTTTTTCTCAGAAAAAGAAAGTGTCTGAGTCAAAGGAGATATGATTATTACATTTTCTCCATGTAGTAAATAAGTCATTGGAACGTAGATTGTTAACTAAAACTAAATATCCTTAAGTTTTCTCTGATGAAAATCATGATGGGAAAAGAACTAAATCACATTTGGTTTTGGTTTATACTCAAAAAATACAACTAATTATTTCAAATTATTTCATATAACCAGTTAAAGTAAGTATAGTACATTAATTACATTTATTGCATATACTCAGAAATGAAATTTTAGTGCATTCATTAAGCATGAATGAGGGAAGCACATGTAGCATCATTACTCATGATTCTGCTTCTACTGTCTATCGAGCATAATTATACCTGTCCTGCTTATCTCATAACGGTGCTGTAATGATCAAATAGTATACATGTATTTAAAACTACCATGAGTTTATAACATGGTGTACAGACTCAGCGTTCTTCTAAAATTAACAGATTATTCAAGAACAGTTCTATTTTGGCTTCTGAATTTTATTTATAATCAACAATAATACAATCTAATAGAGAACAATAGTTGACATCAAACCCCTTTTGAAAGCACTTGTTTGGGGTTTATAAGGTGCCTTTTGTTAATAGATAAATGAGAATAATACAGTCTTAGAATCTGAAACAGTTTAAGGTGACTGGCTGATAAATGGAGACTTCTCAGGATACCAACCCCCAGTCTCCTGTGATCTACTGTGTAGCAGTCTCAGTATGCCATAATTAAGAAGAGAAAATCAATGGATTTTGAAAGTAAATCTGTGAGTGATTTCGTCAGATACTAACTCTCCCCTTGCAATACAACACCTGAATCAGGCAAGAACCTTGGTTACTTATGCTTTCCTTTCTCAAAACATACGAACACCTGATCATTTCCTGTCGCGTGGTGTCACTATTCAAATGCCAGGACAGACGGATGGGCAGGTGCATTGTGGTGCACAAATACTGTAATATTGTAGTCTGGGTTTTAATGACAACCTGAAACATGGAGGGTTTATTTTAGTCACAATAAAACTTGAGTTTACGGGGCTGGCAGGTGGTGTGGTAGCTAAGGTGCTAGGCTCTCACATGACCAACTGCGGTTCGAGTCCTGGACCCAGCAGCTTGCTTTCTCACTTTCCCTTTGTCTGTCTCTGTCTCTCTCTGTTCAAATTAATAATAGTGATAATACTGAATAAAATAA